TGAATGTGCATGTATTTTTGTAATGTTAGAAGTGTATCTTTGGGGTAAATTTCTAGAAATATTAGAGCTGGGTCAAAGGGTACATACATATGCCATTTTTTAGATATTGTAACATTTCCTTCCATTGGGTTTACTATTTTGCTTTCCATATCAGCAATATACAAGAATGCTGCTCTTCTACAGCCTCTTTGAGAGTTCTGTGAAGCTTTTGGATTTTGCCAATCTGATAGATTAGAAATGCCACTGTGTAGTATTTATTTATTTATTACTATTATTATTATTATTATTGTGATGGAGTCTTGCTCTGTCATCCAGGCTGGAGTGCAGTGGTGTGATCGCAGCTTACTGCAACCTCTGCCTTCCAGGTTCAAGCAATTCTCTTGCCTCAGTCTCCCAAGTAGATGGGATTGCAGGTAACTGCCACCATGCCAGGTTAATTTTTGTAATTTTAGTGGAGACAGGGTTTCACCATGTTGGCCAGGCTGGTCTCGAACTCCTGATCTCAGGTGATCTGCCCATGTTGGCTTCTCAAAGTGCTGAGATTACAGATGTGAGCCACCACACCCGGCCTTCTTTTATTATTTTTTTGAGACAGGGGCTCACTTGTCAAGGACTCTGGAGTGCCGTGGTGTGATCATAGCTCACTGCAGCCTTGACTTCTTGGGCTCTGGTTATCCTCCCACCTCAGCCTCCCGAGCATCTGGGACTACAGGCGCTTGCCACCATGCCCAGCTAATTTTTATATTTTTGGTAGAGACAGGGTTTTGCCATGTTGCCCAGGCTGGTCTTGAACGCCTTAGTTCAGTGATCCATGCACTGTGGCCTCCCAAAGTGCAGGGATTAGGGGCATGAGCCACCATGCTCGGCCTACTTTTCATTTATATTTCTCTTATTATGCATGAAGTTGAACATCTTTCACATGTTTAAGGGTCTTCAGTAAATCTTTTTTTTCCTTTGTGGAGTATTTGTTCATGTATTTTATTCCTCTTTCAAACAAGCTTTTGGTCTTTTTGATCTCTTGATTTTGACTTCTTTAAATTAACAATCCAATAGCTTTTTACTTCTGATCTCTGTTGTAAATATTTTCTGTTAATTAATTAATTAATTAATTAATTTTTCTCTCTCTTGGTTTTAACCATGCAAAAGTGCTTTAGTTTTTCTGACGTTGAACTTATCAATCTTTCTTTTATTGAATTTGGATCTTGAGGCACATAATGGTTTTTTTTTTTTTTGAGACAGAGTCTTGCTGTCTCGCCCAGGCTGGAGTGCAGTGGCATAATCTCGGCTCCTTGGTTCAAGTGATTCTCCTGCCTCAGTCTCCCAAGTAACTGGGATTACAGACATGTGCCACCATGCCCAGCTAATTTTTGTATTTTCAGCTGAGACACAGTTTCACCGTGTTGACCAGGCTGATCTTGAACTCCTGACCTCAAGTGATCCACCCTCCTCAGCCTCCCCAAGTGCTGGGATTACAGGCATGAGCTACTGTGCCTGGCCCAGAAAGCTTTTTCTAACACCTAAATTGTAAAGGAATTCCACTCATATTTTCTGCTAGTAAATATTATTTCTTTTCTTTTTTTTTTTTTAACACTTAGATGTTTAATTTATTGGGAGTTTATTCTTGTGTACAGGTTAAGGCATGAATCCACCTACATATTTTTCCTAATGATTATCCAATTGTCCATATGTATGTGTGTGTGTATGCATTTTTTTTTCCTTTTTTGAGACAGAATCTCACTCTGTCACCCAGGCTGGAGTGCAGTGATGTGATCAGATTCCCTGCAACCTCAAACTCCTGGGCTGAAGAAATCATCCTGCTTCAGCCTCCCAAGTAGCTAGGACTACAGGAACATGCCACCATGCCTGGCTAATTAAAAAACATTTTTTTGTGTGTGTGGAGACAGGGTCCTGCTATGTGTTGCACAGGCTGGTTTCAAATCCCTGGCCTCAAGCAATCCTCCTACCTCCCAAAGAACTGGGATTACAGGCATGAGCCACCATGCCTGGCTCCAATATAATTTTTTTTTTTTTTTTTTTTTTTTTT